CTCTCCTTAAGTTTTCTATAATTACTATATCACTTTCGTATATCACAGTTCAATTTCATTACTTTATCTCACTGTGTAACCTTATTGATCACAGAAATAATTCTGAAAGACTGGAACTAATGAAGAAATTAGTGAACTAATAAAGAATAGGGATTAGTGATAAGGTGTTGAAAGATATCAGTTGTGTGAAAGACAATCACTGCTTTCGGAGTCTGAAAATGATGAAAAAAATAAAGGTGTGACAGATAAATAAAAAATAAAACAGTGAGAGGTAGGTTTTAGAAAGATTTTAGAATGAAAAATCGCATACCGAGAGCTTCTTCTTAACGGTTTAAATTCAATCACTTTATGAATAGATTCACGGATTTCAGTTGTCTCTTCTTTTTTCTTACGTCCTCTTTCGGGATTTTCACCTTGTTTGCTTTTCTTCAAATACTTCTCGCTCGAACGATCGACTTCAGGTTGTTCAATTCCCATTTTTCTTCGTTTAGAAACTGCCAATGGAACGTCATAATTAATTGAACCTATCGAAAAGTGAGAACAAGTGAGTTCTGGGGAACAATCGAAACAACTCAATGTATTGAACCGAACGCTAGCACAATTCTCTCTTGCCCAACAATATTGATGCACTTTCATCGTGCCCACGAAAGTCTTCACTTGAGTTGGCAAAATAGAGTCCATGTTCTGAATTTCTTCTTTTGTGACAACATCTATATGAACCGTTTTAACTCGAGTACGAAGGGTCAAGACGAGAGTCTCAAAATCGAAAATATCACCTCCATATTTTACTACATCATCGGCTGATTTTTTTAATCTGCCCCCAATCCCATCAGCTGCTCCTTTTCCATGCCCTGCTTCACTAAAATTGTACGTGATAGAATGAATTTGCGGATAGGAAATCCAGGGAGAACCTAAGTAATGAGGTAAAACATTTTCCTGTTTCGATACTGGGAAGTTAGACCATCACTTTGAAAGTGGAGTTTCTTCACTGTTGGGAATTAGAAGAGATAATGATCCATAATTTTTTTTAAATGAACCAAAATTGCCACAGGATCATGTCTGAGACTTTGTGATAAAGTTGCAAAACCTTCGTGGAAACCTGCAGTATACAACATGCCTGTGTGTGGAGTCGATTGTTCCCTACTCGCCCCAAAATGCACCGCCTGAACTTCGGTGCCATATTTGATCGCATAGTTCTCACTGAAATCAATAATTAGAAACATTTCTTTGTTGCTCAAATTTTGTATCACTTCCTTCAAGATTGTGTCCTGGTGACGGATTCGGAATTCGTGAGCCATCAGAAGTTTCAACTCATTTTTGAACACGTCAATCCCTTCTTGAATTTGACAGATTTTTTTATTTTTCTTAGTCATGACGATGCTGATAGGTTTCTGAGTTTTTTCATTTATGCGTTTCACTGTTGAGGCCTCCCACTTCATGTAGCTCATTTCATCACTAGTACACTTTATGTCTTGAAGATTTATGTTCACCGTTTTGGTCTTACAATTGCTGCATTCCCTGGAGAGACAATTCTCTGACCTTTCACTGCATGTCATAGAAGAGATTAGTTGTTGTATCGAGTTTTCTTCAATAATTTTTATCTTATGAAAGGCATTCAATAAAAGTCGGAAATTTTCATGAATGTAACAAGCACAGGTGTCTCTTCCCGTAATTTTTGGCTCAACATAGTATGAGGGGCGATATCGTGCAAAAAACGAGTAACTCACTCGAATAGAGGCTGCAGCACAAAACTTGATGTGCAAATCTTTGACACTGGCAGTCATATAGTGCCTAGAGGTTAATTTACCATTAACTCTCTTACAATGGTTTTTCCCAGGATCAATAATGGAATTTTCAACAAAGAATTTTTCAACTTTTTTTTTTTAGGAACTGTAGACTCTGCTTCGATCTTCTGACGAATTTCAGTGGGTCTTCATGTTGAGGTATTCTTCTCGACTCAACCGGAGCAATTTGTTTTTTCACAAAAGCTAAATTGCGATATTTTTTCACAATTTTACCACATAGCATTCTCCCAAAAATTTGCTTAAATTTGTCGTTTTTAGAATCTCTGTAGGATTCTTTTAATTGTTGAGTTAGAACTTCATTGGCGACGAGTCTTTTTTTAATGTCATCGTCCACACGTCGTCCATTTAAAAATTTGTTCACGTTAGAAGCGGGAGAAGTTGACACAGGTTTTTTCTTCTTACACCTCTCAATCCTCTTTCTGTATTTATCCATTTTTTTTTTCAATATCTTATTCTCTTCAATCAATTTTTGATTTTCTCGATAACACTTTCTCATGTTTTTGGCCCTTCGCTTTACTCCCACCTTGGCTTGTTTGGACATAGAATCATTGTTGTTTTTGTCAGTTGTTTGGGATTGAGATTCCTTTATTTTGATGTTCATCCTAGAACTCCTTTTCCATGCATTTTGTTTTGCACGACGAATTTTTTTCTCTTTTGTGGTTAACTCAGTGATACTTTTTACTTTACCCTCGAGTTTTCTTTTTCTATATTTCTCTTTCATCTTCTGTACAAAAATGGCCTTTTGCACAGGGTCTTCTTTTATTTTCTTTATTCTAGCTCTCTCGGCCTCTCTTTTCTTCCTTAATCTCTCTTCTCGACGAACATCAATGTCCTTGTTTTTTTAAATCTTTTTTTTTGACTTTTTTCTTTCTTGAGATTTTGCTGATTTGGTTGCTATTTGTGGCTTCATTTTTGACACATTTTCTGGAGCGACTCCACATCGTGGAGTCGCTTTTTTAACCATCTGTAAATATAAAAATAATTTTATTTCAATGTTTTTTGCCGTATTTGATTTTATTTTAACGTTTTTTACCGTATTTGATTTTATTTTACCGTATTTTACCGTATTTGATTTTATTTTGCCGTATTTTACCGTATTTGATTTTATTTCGCCGTATTTTACCGTATTTGATTTTATTTCGCCGTATTTTACCGTATTTGATTTTATTTCACCGTATGTTGAGATATTGAAGGTAGAGTGGACTGTATTCACTGGATTTCACCTTTATTGCGTGAGACCGTTACGATACGTACAATGCGCTTCAACGTCCTTTTGCCATCTTATCTTCTTCCTTCCTCGCGCACGCGCAGTTACACAACCGTCATAGAGTCGACGGGCGCTAGAGGCGCTACAGCCAACCGCGATCAAACCGCCGTTGCGACGCGACCAAATTACAAAAATTATATAAACTCAACATACCCCCCGACATTGAAAGGGTACTTTCAATAAAAAAAAAGAAACTAATATCAGTGAATTTGCTCGTTCTATTATTAAACTACGAACTAACTGATTAACTAATACTGAACAAAGTAATTCCCTGAAGGAATGCGCAAAGAACCAAATAACATATATTACGCCTACATAATATTGCAATCAAATACTCTTACATACTACAAGATTAATAACTAAATATTTGCGGTGGACTAATTACTGCCTATTTTATCAATGGGCAACGGGCAAAGTTTCGCAGTCGCAATTTTGATGGTTCCCGTTGAGGTCTTAACAGTAGCTACCCGTACTACATGGTCCTTCCCTGGATGAATAGATATGACCCGTCCAAGTCTCCACTTGAGTGAAGGGAGATTATCATCTTTGATGAGGACCATTGTGCCTTCAGCGATGGGTCGTGCTGGGTTCTTTCTAGTGGTGCGTTGCTGAAGTTCTGAGATGTATTCCTTACTCCACCTCTTCCAGAAGTGCTGCTGAATACTTTGTACCAACTGCCACCTGGATAATTTAGATTCTGGTACATCCGTTAATGTAGGATCTGGTGGTGCTGTAAGTGTACGACCGATGAGAAAGTGAGCAGGTGTAAGGGGGATTAGGTCATTGGGATCTGACGACATCGGAGTTAGCGGACGCGAATTCAATAACGCTTCGACCTGCGCAAGTAATGTGTACAGTTCCTCAAATGTTAAAATCGCATTACCAGCTACTCGTCTTAAATGATACTTAGTTGACTTCACACCCGCCTCCCATAAACCACCGAAGTGTGGCGAGTGAGCGGGTATAAAGTGCCAATTGATCCCAATTTCGTTTATGCCTTTTTCAATCGAATTTGTCTCACTTGCCAAGAATTGTGCTAATTCCTTCAGCTCTTTGTTAGCTCCAACGAAATTAGTACCATTGTCTGAATACATATGCGCGGGTTTACCTCTTCTAGCAGAAAAACGCCTGAGTGCAACAATAAACGCCTCTGAGGTCAAATCAGAAATTAATTCCAAATGTACTGCCTTTGTAGCGAAGCAAACAAACAACCCTACGTATGCCTTGCTCGTTTTACACCCTCTTCCCTTTCGATCCTTAATAATAAATGGACCTGCATAGTCCACCCCAGTATGAAAAAAGGGAGCTGCTACTGATACGCGAGCTTGGGGTAATTCTCCCATTGGAATTTGAGATTGCCGCGGTTTGCTTTTAAAACAACGGATGCATTGGTGTACAACCCTTTTTGCCAAATTTCTACCCCCGATAGGCCAAAATTGATCGCGTATTGAACTCAGTAATAGTTGGGGGCCTGCGTGTAGTAACCTTAGATGTTCGTGAATAAAGAGCAATTTTGTAAACTGATGGTCAGCCGACAGAACTATGGGATGCCTTTTGTCCTCTCCAAACTCGGAATTTCTTAATCTTCCACCGACACGAATGAGGCCGTTTTGGTCAATAAATGCATTAAGCGCGGCTAATTTTCCCTTTGTAATGGAACCGTTCTTTCTAAGTATTTGCGCTTCTGCAGGAAATGATTCTCCTTGTGCTACCTTCGCAAGGGTTCGCAACGATTCCCGTAGTTCGGCTGCCGTTAACCATGTCGAATCGCGTCTCTCCTGTTTTCTGCAGCTGCTTATGAAACGTTTACAATATGCCACTATGCGGATTAAACTTCCTAACTTTGTAATATTCTCAAATATAGATGACTTGGTTAGTTGAGTTTGTTTGACAGTACAAACCGTTCTTCTTACTTCAACCGTCGGTATTTATGATTCTGGCATGATAGGCCATTTTCCTTCTGGCTTCGATAAAAATTCTGGACCGTGCCACCAAATATCTGACTGTAATAACTGCTCCGGGAATAAACCTCGCGACAACACGTCAGCTGGGTTATCCTGTGTCGGCACGTGTCGCCAGTTGCGATAATCCGTTAACTCTTGAATCCTTGCTACGCGATTTGCAACAAAGACTTGTAATTTACTTGGTTGTGTTTGCAGCCAATTTAGAACTATCGTTGAGTCACTCCAATAAGTAATACTAAAATTCAGCACATTTAGTGAATTAACCACCTTTTCCATCAATTCTGCAAGTGTGAGTGCTGCGGACAGCTCTAATCTAGGTATTGTCTGTAGCTTGAGTGGTGCTACTCTAACCTTGGAACATAGCAATTTAACTTGTACCTTGTTTTGATGATCTACCACACGAACATATATGCATGCTCCATAAGCGCTTTGAGCCGCGTCCGCAAATCCATGTAATTCTAATCTCGTATAACTTTTACAAGTTACGTTTCTAGGTATCTTAATCTGATTTAACCTACTAATCTGTTTGCGGAATGAGATCCAAGTAGAATGCAAATCAGTTGGAATAGCTTCGTCCCATGATAATTTAAGAGTCCATAATTTTTGTATTAGAATCCTAGCTAGTATAAAACATGGGTTCAACAGCCCTAACGGATCGAATATCCGTGTTACCTCAGACAGTATCTGTCTCTTTGACACTTTTGGAGGTGGTAACTCCTTTATCGTATAAACCAGAATATCTTGATACGCTTGCCAGCCCAATCCAAGTATCTTTGCTTGAACGTCAGAATTGAAATCCAATACGTTTGGATTCTGATTCTTGGGGGGAATGTCCTTTATGATTTCCGGTTGATTTGAGATCCACTTTCGAAGGATGAATCCTGCCGATTCTAAGACTTGCGAAACCTTGTGCACAATGTCTCTAGCTTTCTCTATCGAATCCGCTCCAGTCAAAAGATCGTCCACATAGAAGTCTTCCCTAATGATCTTCGCTATTTCTGGCCATAGTTTCTCGATTTGCTTCGCTAATTTCAAGAGGCACTTTACTGCAAGATACACTGCTGCCGCTGTACCATACGTTACTACGTTTTGTTCAAATACTTCTACCGGATTATTTGGATTCGCGCGCCACAATATTCTCAGTAATGAACGCTGTTTCGGATCCACTAATATCTGTCTAAACATTTTCTCCACGTCTGCTGATACGACGTATAAGTACATTCTGAATCTCAGAAGTATTGAGAATAAGTCCTCTTGAAGCTTGGGCCCTACCATTTGAATTTGATTCAATGAAATACCGTTATCTGTAGGGGCTGATGCGTTGAATACTACACGAATTTTAGTAGTTGTACTATCGTTTCGAATGACACAATGATGTGGCATGTAATAGGCTATTTCTGAGTCTGACACGTTGACTACTTTACTCATGTGTTGTAGACTCTCATATTCCTTAAGAAACGCTGTGTATTGCTCTTTAAGTACGGGATTTCTTCTAAATCTTGTTTCTAGTCTCTCCAATGATCGCAAAGCGCCCTTGTATGATTCACCTAACACGCTTGGATTTTCCTTCAGAGGCATGCTGACTACAAATCTGCCGTTTATGTCGCGTTTGTATGTTTGTGAAAAATGCAATTCGCACTCCTTCTCTTCTTGGGAAAGTACCCTTCGGGTTGAGAATTCCTCAAGCTCCCAAAACTTGGCTACTTGCTCGTGTATGTCAACAGACTTGCTAAAATGACACCGTGTTGAAGTCACGCTACTACCGACTAACGGTCCCGCTGCTATCCATCCTAATTTTGTCTTTTGCATTGTAAGCTGCGATTTGCCTATCTTAATTTGTCCAACACACAGGAGATTCCAAAACCAATCCGCACCAATAAGAATGTCTACTCTATCAGGTATGTAAAATCGGGGATCTGCTAATTTAATGTTCAAGGGGATCGAAATATCTGCTACGTTAATCCTACTGTTAGGTAGGCTACCTGTTATTTCTGGGATGACAAGACACGACAAGTGAAACTCGTGTTTGCCATAGCATGCAGCAATTTTGACTCTACACTTGCTTTTTATTTGGCAAGATGCGCTATTGATAGCCTCCAGATTTACTATCACCTCAGTTTTATCGAGTTTTAGATCATCGCAAAGTTTATTTGTAATAAGACTAGATTGCGACCCGGGATCAAGTATTGCACGAGCCTTATGTGTCTTGCCATATCTATCCTTCACTAATACTATTGCGGTCGACAAGATAACGTGATAGTCATTGCTTCTATGCTGAGAACACAAAACTGACGAAGAATTAATATTTTCCACTGCGTTTGTAGCCTGCTCCGATAACGGCTTCTCAAAATGTATAAGCGTATTATGCTTGCTAGAGCACTTCCTACATGTGCCACCCTTGCAGTTTTTAATAAAGTGTCCCGGTTTCATGCAGTTCAGACACAACTTCGCGTTCTTTAAAGCTTCTACTCGTTCCTGCGGAGAGAGTTGTAAGAACTTGGGGCAGCTTGATAAACGATGCGCTTCCTTACACACCACACATTCTTGTTTTTTAAGAAGAAACGATTTAGATTTTATGGAATCTGATTGTTTAGATTTGTACGTGCCCTTCTTATTTAAGTCTAACGTTTCTAACATATTTGCTCTTAGGGTAAGAAAGCTCTTGAACTCATCTAATGTTGGGAGATCTCCATTGGCGCGTTGTTTCTCCCACTCTCTCGCCGTGATACTATCTAATTTGCTCGAAGCTAAGTAAATTAGCAACGCGTCCCAATGTTCCGTCGACTGACCTAATGCATTTAACGCTCTTAGATGCTTGTTGAGAGTATCTATCATATTACGAATTTGACTGGTTGACTCCTCTTTCATTAAATTTATGCTAAAAATGGCTTTAATGTGATTTTTTGTCAGTAAACTTTTATTGTCAAACCGCTCGCAAATTGTTTGCCACGCTATCGTATAGTTCGCAGCTGAAAATTCCAATGATTTAATGATCTGAGCGGCATTACCCTCTAACGCGGCCTTTAAGTAATGGAATTTCTGTATCAGATCTATAGTTTCATTGCTATGTATGAGTGACTCGAAAGTATCTCTAAACCCAAGCCATTCGTCAATATCACCTGTAAACTTTGGCAGTTCTATTATTGGCAGTCTAATACCCGGCGTTTTAAAAATGATATGTTGGTTTGCTTGCCTCGCTACGTTTGGAGTAGGATCCGCCTGTTCATGCGTTGTGTGTGCGGATGCTCCTTGTACAGGCACTGAATCACGGACTTCGTTCGTTGCTGCACTCGGAGGCTGTAGTGTCGCTATGCCTCGCATCAGTAAGCCTTCTGCCTGCGCTATTAACCTGAAATAGTCTTCCTCGAATACCTCGCGATACTGCACTGTTTCTAATTCGTCATCGGTGAGCGCGTCAATTTCTGCTTGTACTTCGTTGTACATTTCGTAGGCTCCTCGTATAGTACTGATGCGTTCTCGTAACTCTAATTTGTTTACTTCTTCTAACGCTTGTGTTGCATCTGGAAAACTATTTATTACCTTAGCAATATAATTCTTAAATGTAGTAACTCTACCTTTAAGGTAACCTCGCCTTTTTATTAACGCTTCCATTTTGTTTGTGTCGCTACGATGACTGCAATATGATTACGACGCAATGTATACAACGCAATGTATTTTTTTACGTGTCGCACATCGCGGTTATAACTATCGGATTGATTTTGATTCGTGAGATTTTCAGTTTTTGTTACTTCTAATTGTCAACTAAATAAAATTTATTCATAATAATATTTATTCATAATAATTAGTTTTATTAAGAATTTTCCCAAATTATACCCCTGTCCGGAAACTTTTCGACGGCAGTGTACCCTCGTTGTAGATAATCGTTATACTATTAAAAGCATCTTGCTTGATATAACAATTGGATTAAAACTGGAAATAAATAAAGATCTCTCGAAAACTAGTTCTTTGGATGCTAATATTACCAATTCATCAAGAACAACTTTGCCTTCATCAGATAAAGAATTGGGATAACAAAATAAATGTTACATTTAATAGAAATGAATTCGACAATCTTATAGAGACGAAACACTATTCCAAAAGGAAAAAGAAAAAATCCAAGTTAAGGCTCCTGGTCCCTGAGCTGAGAACTCTGTGTTGACGGTGGCAACGTACCGTCGCGACAGAAATAAGAACTCTCTTCAATGGAGAATTCTGTCCTTTGTGACATGTTGACAACCTATTTTGCGTTGCGTTAAATTTCTTTATTATTGCTCTGTACTTGTGCTATAACGTTTAACGTATTTGTGAAACTCGTATAATTTAACGTATGGTAAGATTTGCAAGAAATACATAGCGGAAGGAATATTCTCCACTCCTTTCGATAGTCGTCAAACGCCTTGTTTTTCCATATGTTTAAGCTTCGTTTTATGGCTGTTTGTTTATTGTCGAAGGAAAAGAATAGTATCCGTTAAATTTTAGAAGTGTGCTGAAACGATTTATAGTAATTTTTTTATTGAAATGTCTTTTTATTTTGGAATTTACCGCAACCTAAAATAGGGTAATTTCTCGCCTCGATAGCAAGAAATTCAATATGGCCGCGGTGACTACCCAGGAGCCTTAACTTTTAGATAATACTAACAATAAGTATCAAAAGCAGGAAAATGGCAAACAGTTCCATAGAAGAAGAAACTCCATTGCTACAGTTTAAAAATTCCGCCAAATGTAATTAATAAGTTACTCGCATTCACCCTTAAATTTCAGGGTGAAAAATTTTCCTTCTGAGGTGCACCCGGGTGAAGTTTCTAAACGACTTCATCTCTGTCATACTGGTACGACCCGAACGTTTCCGAACAGCGTGAGTCTCGGCGGATGCCCCCGGGTAAAGTTTCCGAACGCAGCCTTAGGGGGTCTATACAGGTACGCGTTTGGTTCGTAACCCCGGCTCGGTTCGGTTTTTACTCGTGCGTGGGTGGGATGTCACGAGCTGGGCTTGGCGTCAGATGAGCCAAATTCGGACATTTTCCTTTCGTGTATGGTGAAAAAACGTTCGAGTCCGGCTCGCGAATCAAGCTCGTCGAGCCGGACTTGCGAGTCAAACTTGTACGTGTATAGATCCCCTTAGATATATAGCCCGTTGTGGAATACCGCGCCTCAAGATCTCTTGCATAATCAGTATCTGAAAATCCTATTATATATATTAAGTCTGATTCGCTTTTGCCGCTTTGATACATTATACCTACATTTTTCGTAGCGACTAGAAATACAAAAATTCTCTTTACCGCTCACCAACTTTCTCTGGAATTATTTAAAAATTTACTGGCGATATTGACCGTATATGTCATATGTGGACGCGATACAGTAGCAAGAAACATAAGCGATCCGATTGCTTCACGATATAGTACATTAGACAACTCCTTTTCTTCAGATTCTACGGGCTCTAGTATTACATAAGGATCTGCTGGAACAGATACTACTTTTGCATCATTCATACCAAATCTTTCGAGAATTTTCTGCGTGTATGCACTGTGATGCAGGAACATTGTTTTTCTTTCTCTATCTCGAATCAATTGCAACCCGTCAAAGCTACTACAGTCACTGAGAGTCAAATGTACTTCTTAAGTTCTTTAGATGTCAAACGTACTTCTTAAGTTTTCGATAATTATGTCTAACACTTTTTGATTTGCACGCTACGAGACCATCGTCAACAAACAGCGCAAGATATATCGCTGATAATATTATAAAAAATGCACTCGTCAGCATCTGTTTACTTGAACTTAAACCGTTTCAAAAAATCACGAAATTTGCGATTCTAGCACCGCGGGGCTAGTTTTAGTCCATATAGCGATTTCTTTAACCAACACACTACTTCACTGGCATTGTTTTCGTTTTTCAGACTTGCTGGCAGTTCTATATGAATCTCCTCTTCTAGTTCACCATATAGAAATGCTGTACCAAATTGAACCATCTCGAGGTTCTCATGGGTGACTATCGCCAACAGTACTTGCAATACGTCGTAACGAACTACGGTGAGGTCTTGTAGTCCACTCTTTTCTCCTGAAGAAAGCTTCTGGCACACAACCGCAGCGCACTTCCATCTATTCCTTGAATTACCTTAAACATCCATCTTATAACAATCGTCCTTTTTTCATGATCTCTGGGTGTTATCTGTCACGTGTTGTTTTTCTCGTGAGCCTTGAGCACCTCTTTGATAGCTCCTTTTCACTAGGACACGTCAGGTCGGGGAGATCCCAGTTGCGCACAGAATAAATCGAACACATCAGGTTGAATCAATTGGACACAGTGACAATCGGACACAGTAGGAAACGGACACACAACGGTTACAATCGGACTTCGCTCGCCTTACTCCCAGGGCAATAGGTGTGGCCAACAGCCTCTGCAGGCTGTTGCCGAACCTGGGAGGGGCAAGTGGGCGTGTTTGCCGACTTTACGCGAGGACGGTCAGCGCCGTGGCATTATACGAGCCACCAGTCTGGGCCCCTCAACTGGCGGCCACCGCTCTAAGATGCTAATGCGTCGCGTTCAACGAGTGGTGGCCACCAGGGTGCCATGGGCGTACGGGACCGTCTTCCATGCGGTGGCAACGACCCTGTTGCGGCCAAGTAATGGCGCAGAAGGAGGAGGCGGAAAGAGTCCGGCGCGGAGAGCGCCTGGACCCTAACTTACGACTGGAAGAGGACCAGGGCGCCTTCGTAAGGCGAGCCCCCAGAAGAAGGGGGGTTCGCGAAAAGCGCCAACCCGCACCCCCTTGACTAAAGGGGGCATTGGGTAACGGTCCAGGGGACAGGGGACAGGTGATAAACTAAGCTCTCTTTCCCCCTCTACCCAGTGAGGGAAAATCGGACCTCGGTGGAAGGGCGGCGACAGCAGTCAGCTGTCGCAAGGCCCGACCCGCGCTTGGGGTATCAATCGCCTCCGAGCGCGCGTCAAAAAAGAAGCTCGCGCTTCTCCATGCGCCGGCCTCGGCAAACTACGGCGTATGGGGTTGGAGTATGGAAAGGTGTGGGGGTCGGCCCGCGGGCGAGGGTTTCTAGTGAGTCGGGCCCTAGTGAATCGGGAGTAACCTCCCCCACATTGGAGGGTGGCCGAGGTGGTGGGACTACTTCTCCTCGGCCACGATGGAGAAGTAGTCCCCGTCAAGTCTGGGGGGGGGGGGGCTGGTGCCCCTCACCAACGTGAGGGGCACGAGAGGTAAAAGCGTGGAGGGGTGGCGGAAGGAAATAGTCAGTTCCCGCTACCTCTCCCCGTCAAGCGCAGAGGTGGACACCCGGTAGGGTTTTAGTCGGTAGGAGTCCGACATAACCGCCCGTCCCCTCCCCCGGGGGACGGGGGAAACACATAAGTGCTAATCGGACACAGTAGGAAACGGACACACGGCGGTTACAATTGGACACAGCGCTAATCGGACACAGTGCTAATCGGACACAGTAGGAAACGGACACAACAACAATCGGACACATTGCCAATCGGACACAGTAATAATCGGACACGGTAAGAAACGGACACAGTAACAATTGGACACAGTAATAATCGGACACAGTAAAAAACGGACACAGTGCCAATCGGACACAATTGGAAACGGACACACTATGGT